TGATATACATAAATTAGTAAATGTGAAATTGCTATACAAGTCAAATAATGGGGAAATAATCGATAATCGAATCAAATCGAAATCGAATCGGATTGAAAAAATTAATCGTTAGATTCATCGATGCATCGAAAAATTAATCGCTAGATTCATCGATTAGGAAAATAATCGTTTTGCCCAGCCCTAATCTGAAGCCCTGGTGATTATTGCGCATGCGCGATATAATACCGATATGATATCGCCCAGCCCCAATACCATTTGAATCTTTCTTGGAAGAGCTGCCAAAATGATGGACAGAATATGCAATGTTATTATTAATGGACAAAACCAGCCATATGATATGTATGTCATCTTGGACAGATCTAGCAGGGAAAGAGCTATGGTAAACAACAAATTTTCAAAGGTATCCAGTACTTAAATGTCCTGCAAAGGGACATTAACCCAGGAAACCTGAAGTTGCAGTGTGCACAAGGGCAACAAATGACCATCAAATAATATTGCAGACTTTAAGGGTGCTTTTCCACTGCACATAACAATGCAAGGCATATGTCCTGAAGGGGGTCAAATAACAGGTCAATGTTTTATACAAGTAATACACATATACACTATATTTCCAAAAGTATTGGGACACCCCTCCAAATCATTGAATTCAGGTGTTCCAATCATCTCCATAGTCACAGGTGTATAAAATCAAGCACCTAGGCATGCAGACTGCTCCTACAAACATCCGCAAAAGAATGAGTCCCTCTCAGGAGCTCAATGAATTCAAGTGTGGTACAATAATAGGAAGCCACCTGTGCAATAAATCCTTTCGTGGAATTTCCTCGCTACTAAATATTCCACAGTCAACTGTTAGTGGTATTATAACAAAGTGGAAGCAATTTGGAACAACAGCAACTCAGCCACGAAGTGGTAGGCTATGTAAAATCACAGAGCAGGGACAATGAATGCTAAGGCACAGAGCGTGCAGAAGTCGCTAACTGTCTGCAGAGTCAATAGCTACAGACCTCCAAACTTCGTGTGACACCTTGGTAATGAGACTTTTTTTATAGACCATCAACTAGGACTAAATCAGCTTATATTCATTTGCACTGATAGGGGGCAGGATTGCTTTCTAAATACTGACAGATTTCAGCTGGTTTCTTGGCTATTTATGCCTTCTTGCACCTTCTTTCCTTCATGTTCAATACTTATTTCCTGTGTCATTTCAACTTAATGTATGGACTTATTTGTTTTGATTTATTTGTCTGTGTGAATTACTTGGGTTGTCCCAAACATCTCGTGTAAATTTCATGTCAATAGCCCCATTAGAAATATATTTACTGAGAAAAATGTTGACACAATATATATATATATATATATATATATATATATATATATATATATATATATATATATATATATATATATATATATATATATATTCGTTAATAATAAAAATTGACTTGTTACTTCAAGACCTTCACTGTAAAAGTAAAACAATACAGCAGGTAAGCTAATACTCTGAATTGATTTCACAGATTCAAAGATTTTTTTAACAATTCATTTTTGAGCCCTGGACGGTATGAGTAATTCATATTCCTAATTTAATCAAAATCAAAAATGGTGACGCAGAGACTATTTGTTGACTTAAAATGGAATGACCCACGCGCTTACTGGTGATCAATTAATACATGTATACTATTGTTTGTTAAAGAGAAAATGAGCAGGTGTTTTCATCGAGACTTAATGGTTTTCTGTACAACTTAATTCATCCGCATTAAGGCTAGCTCCCACAGAAAATATCTACTAGTTGAGCAAAACAAAACAGCTAACTGGCGCTGAAACCGATTTCAAATGTGATTTATACCAGGACTGCCATTTGGTGTCGTCTCAGTCGACCACCATACAAATCCCTCACGAATACAAGAAAATGCATAATTTCTCAGCTCTCCTGTGTACTTTAAAGTTTCTATAGCACCGTATTGCTGCACAGTACATGCATTTCCCACAGGTCTCCGTTCAGCAATATCTGTAATAATCAGCAAAATACTTAATAATTAACACTGGTAACTCTGAGTAAATCATTCATTTGCAGACCAACCCGAACAAGTTTCGGCATGTTCAAAACAAAGTTACAGTCATCAGTGCCCATAAAATGTTAATGGAATTACACGTGTAGGCGGTTTACGGCTTGTTAAATTACTAGACAGTGAGGTGTTCGTTATACATAAATGGCAACAAAATAAGCTCGGTCGTATCTTACCGTGTAGGTTGTCTTCGTTGTAGAAAACTGTAGCCTGACAACTTGAACGTACGTGTTCTAGCAACTTTACTATCGTTTTGCCGAAAGAAGCGAAGCTGGAAAATCTTGCCCTACCTACAACCGTGGTTACTACATAATATTCAACTGACACCGACTTACTCTTCGCTGTTCGGGTTCCCTAGAGTTATACGTGTGCAGCGCCACCTAGCGTGTTGGAGTGGGATAGACTTTTATCCTAAACATTCAGATTACACTTTTTCTCAGTTGCTTTCATGCAATTTCCTCATCAGAAACACCATTCTCACCACTCTTAATGCAGTTCTCAAAACATTTCATGCATTTCTCCTAACACTAAATCACCTGTGCAGAAGACACTAAAACAATCAAAACCTTGTGCACATGTGTCAGAGCATACAACATCAATCACTTCATCGCTGTGACAAATGAATAAAACACTTTCACCAGTGCATCAAGACTTAGTCAGCAAATATTTTAATCTTTTAATTAAATCCTTACTAAAATCTAATGTAGAGAAAAAAACAGAATAAAATATAATATGAAACATTTGTAAATTTACAGATAATTACTGTAATTGAGAAAGAATAGAACCAAGTAACAGAAAATATACACAAAAATATGGAATTGAACATTTAGTGTAGTACATTATATTACAGTATGCAGTACATTTATACAGATATGTATAGATGGACAAACCTACATCAAATTACTGTCTTACATACCCCCTGGTTTAGAGCAGGGGGAACAAGGATGTGCCATGAAATCCCTCAAGGGGCATCCAGTCTCTCTTCCCTGTTAGGCCACATCACTGTGTTTACATCACACCTGATATTTTCTCTTCTGAGACAAAGCGGGAGAAATCGTTTGGCATACCACACCCAGGCCCGACAAGCCTCAGGTGTGATGTCCCCACAGCCAGCATCCATTGCCTCCAGTAATGACATTTGGTCATGGGGCCTGCAATCATACACCTTCCACCTCCAAGCAGAGAAGAATTCCTCAATAGGGTTGAGGAATGGTGACTAAGGCGGCAGGAACACCATCATCACTTGTTAGTGGGTTTCAAACCATTCCCTCACATGGTTTGAATGGTGAAAATGTACATTGTCCCCAATCACAACATAGCATGGCATGTTGACCCTCAAACCCTTCTTGGATTTTCTGGAGTAGTGCACATCCAAAAACTGAAGAAGCCGGTCGGTGTTGCAGGGCCCAGTGGTGGCTGCATTGTGAATGACTCCATGTTCAGCAATAGCAGCACACATTGTGATGTTGCCCCCATGCTGGCCTGGGACATCTACTATGGCCCTCTGACCTTTTATGTTCCTGCCACGTTGCCTTACTTTGTTTAGGTTAAATCCTGCTTCATCTACATACACCAAAATGTGCTTGGTCTCACTGGCCTCCAACTCAAGTATCCTCTAAATATAAACACAAACATATATACTGTAAATAAGAAAGAGCAAAAGAGAGAGCAAGAGTGATCATGTTGACCACAAAATCTTGGGACATTTCTCACAACTTCCTGCTCCATTTTTAGCACTATGCACTGAGTGGAACCTGAGCATCTACAGCTGAAACCAGAAGTTTTACATACACTTCAGAAAAAGACACAAAAAACGTTTTTTTTTCCACTGTTGAACATTAATTCAGAGTAAACTTTTTCTGTTTTAGGTCAGTTAGCATCACCAATTTTTTTTTTGTATTTGTTAAATGTTAGAATAAAGATAGAGAAAAATTATTTTTTTATTTTTATTACTTTCATCAAACTCAGAAGTTTACATACACTAAGTTTATTAAGTCTTTAAACAACATAGAAAATTCCAGATGATTCCAGTCTGAGCTCTAGAAGCTTCAGATAGGTTAATTGACACCTTTTAAGTGGCAACTGGTGGCATACCTTTGGATGTATTTTAAGGCGCACCTCAAACACAGAGCCTCATTATGTGACATCATGGGATAATCAAGAGAAATCAACCAACACATCAGTAAAAGAATCATGGACCTCCACAAGTCTGATTCATCCATCAGGTACAATTTCCAGATTCCTGAAGGTCCCAGGTTAATCTGTTCAAACAGTAATATGCAAGTATAAACACCATGGGAGTATACAGCCATCGTACTGCTCAGGAAGGAGACGGATTCTGAGTCCCAGAGATGAACAAACCCAAAACGTTTGGCCCAAGTGAAACAGTTTCAAGGCAATGCTACCAAAAAGTAAGGAAGTATATGTAAACTTCTGCCTTTGATGAAAGTAATAAAAATTTAAAATAAAATTCCATATATATATTTTGACATTTAACAAATACAAAAATTTGGTGATCCTAACTAACTAAAACTAACTAAACTCTGATTTAATGTTTGGAAGTGAGAAGAAAAGTTTTTGAGTCTTTTTCTGAAGTGTATTTAAACTTCTGGTTTCAACTGTATATATGCTTGTATGAATGCAACTTAGTGGCATAACATGCACCTGTGATATAACAGTGTGAACATGTGTTTTTCTTTGTTTCAAGTGATTCTTATCTGAGAACACGTAATTCCATTTATTTTCAATTGAAGACCAATTTTATTGTTACCACTGACTGTGTGATTGGCCTTATTCTTTACTACATACCTGAAAGAAGTTTAAAATTATTCGATTTTTAACACTAATGCATTGCGCGACAGTATCAAAGCGAGTGAGAGACCTGCAACTCTCAGTGAATGTGCAACCTGTTTTGATGAATTGTCAAAATCAGATGAGAAATTCTAATTTGTGTGGGAGACTGTGTTTTGAGAACCGCATTAAGAGTGGTGAGAATGGTGTTTCTGATGAGGAAATTGTATGAAAGCGACTGAGAAAAACTATAAGAAACTGGATACGAATTGACACCACTGGGATAAAAAAAATTGGCTCTGGACATTTGCCCATATAGTCCCACCACACATACATACCTAGGTGAAAATTTGCCACCAGGGGAGGTCCACTTGCAAATATTTCTGGCCCACAACTCCAATGACAAAATGCCCAGATTGCCAGTCCAGTCCTGGGACCCCCTACTATGTTTATAATGACGTAATTGTTAACCAGTAGGTTAAATTTCTATAAATTTAAAGAAGGTTAATTTAGGCCTTTATTTATCCGAGGCCCTGGGGGCTGCTCCCCAGGAAAACCCATGTAATAAAGAGCCTGTGGCTACAACAACAAAAAAATACTAAAAAAGGAAAACCGTGTTTCTTTAACATTAAAATTTTAAGGATTACCCCAATACCTCGCTATTGCTACAAGACAATACACAGTTTAACTTGATTCTGAAGTCAGGTGGTTCTGGTAATTTCTTCTTGAGTGAGTAAATGTGATACTATAATAATAAAGGTGTGTTTTCATTGGCGTTGTAGCCCTGCTGCCAGGACAGCACAATGTGCAAGCCGACTTTGAGTGTTCTGTGGTCCTGCTGACAAGGGTGTACCCGAGGGCCCCTGTCAAGTGCCAGGGTATTCATGCCTGTCTGAGGCCCCTGGCTAATTCTAAGAATGAATTACAGCATAAGATTCATCGTATTACTTTTCTGGAGAATTGCATTCAAGTTAGACTGTAAGATTACACTTTGCATACTACTTACAAATATGTACATTGCATAAATATATTTACAATGTTTCCTGGTCACACTTTGGCATCCTTGCATCAGAAGGATTCTAATACAATTGCAAAACAGCTGAGAGTTCAGCAATCAGATGCTACCAGTGAGGGACAGTGTTATTTGTGCAATCATTCCCTAGAGTGGTCTGAAGATATTCTGGCCCTCTGGTCTATGTAGAAACTGTCCTCATTTAATTTACTTGGCAAATGTTTTTTTATGCTCCAGCCTCATCTGATTTTCTCAGGAGCTGGCGAAATTCTTAGCAAAAAAAAAAAAACTAAGTCCAAAACCATTGGAAAAAAATATTGTTTTTTAATACCTATATCTTAACATTTTTAATCTCCTTTACAAATCCCAATTTTTGCCTGCCAATTTGCACAAACACACATTGACATGTTACCCATATAACTTGTGTTGCCAAAGTAATAACACAGACACTCAAATGCCAAAGAAAGCCAGTCTTTATTTGTCCAGCATTTTACCATAGTAGCACATATTCACAACATAACCGTGAAATGACTGTCCATTAGTAAATTCAGTGCCTGCTTAAACTACAAGTTTATGTGCCATACACTTTCACCTCACTTTGGTTTAATCCATTTTATTTTCATATCATTGCACTTTCTAACAGAGTACTTGCTCTTATGCTCAATATTTTATCATGTTAAAAATGTATTGAAATATGTATGTTGATGAATACAATTGACATGGTCACACGAGAGCCAGGTTCTCTGGTTTGTTGTATTGCATTACTTTTATCAGCAGATGGCAATGAAAAGTCTCAAGCTTCAAGGACTGAACCGGTTTTCAACACAGTGTTTTGGAAAACCTTTATTTTTCCATCCCTAACCATGCTTGAACTGACAACTCCTTTGTTGCCACCAGCACTATTTGTTTAGTATATTTTCAACTATTTGCTAAATAAATCACTATTGACCCGCATTTCCATTTTTTTTAAACTCATTTGTCAGATACTTTTGTCCAAAGTGACATACAAGTGAGAATCAAAGACCTGGATCAGCCAGGGTACCTGGGGCAGTTGGTGTTAAGGACCTGGTTAAGGGGTACAATGGTGACAGGATTTGAACCAATGACTTTCCAATCATGTCCCCAGCTTCCTAACCTACTGATTCCCCCGTGCCCAATTTTCTAAATTCCTTCTTAAGCAAAGTGTCACCTGATGAGCAATTTATCAATTTAGGAAACATTACAGCAATACAGTATCAGAGCAATTTCTTGAACTGACTGTAGATTGCACAGCATATGATGATTTATGATGCTCTGAAAAGAAGCCTGTATTTCAGAGTAAAATTATTAAACAAAGTGGAGAAACAATCCATTTTGATCAACAAGACTTATGCAATTGATATTTTTTTCCAGTTGTAAACAAAAGGGGAGGGAATGGCTAGAATGTAAACTTGAATAACTTTTGTACCAAAAAATGTTGAGAAATGCATTTTAAAGATGCTCAATACTTTAGAATTATTAAAGCAAGTTTGAAAATTCAAGTAAGATAATGCCTCACAATTATAGACAATATTGTTGTTTCTGAACTTATGAATTTATTTAATGAAAAACATACTTTCCAACAAGAAAGTTGATTTACAGTCAAGTAAGTAATGAAGTTTGATTTCAGATCCTTCCGTTTCTCATAACCATTTAACCAGCACAGGTTTGAGGTTGTCCTGGAGCTTATCCCAGGAAGCACTGCATCCAAAGAAGAGCCCACATTCACAAACAAGCAGAAACTAATCCACCCAGAGGACCTGGAGAAGAATAAAGGGGAATGATGTGGAATTGAGTAGTAGGAATAAAGGGTTCATATTTAACTCTCCAATATTATTTTTGTGATGCTTATATTTCTGTGAGTACAGTAACAGACTCTGGTCTTAATCACTGTTGCAGATTACAGTATCTGGTATTCTTTTTGTTACATGGAGATTACTTCTGGCTCAAGTTTCTGTTTCACGTCTCTCTAGAGTTGCCAGACCTACAAGCATATCCACCAATATACGGGGAATTACGACATGCTCGACGCGTGACAGAAACGCAATTGAAAAGTTATAAAGAAAAAAAACAAAAAAATGTATAATGACTTCAGATTTAATAGATAAGGAGCATATAATGTACGTAATGCACGTATTTTGAGAAAGCAAGAGATTCATTAACCTTGTAATCCAGACTTTGGTCTTGCAGAACGTTCTGTTTTGATATAACATGCTTAAAGTAAACGGAAGAGGACTTAATTTTAACATACGTATATTTGTTTATTCTCAAACTTATTTCAAGGCGAGGTCAAATAGAATAATTTTGTTCTACACTGTACGATGGCCATGTAGAAAAATAAAGAAGGAATTCTATTCTATCATATTCTACATTTTCCATCGCGGGGATTTACGTACCACCTTCTGGCAACCTGTCCGTTTTTTTCCTCCTTTCTTTTTTGTTGTTGTTGAATCTTGTTTGATCATACACTTGCTTTACATGTCTGTCGTACCTACGGTACCATATTCATGCTTGGGGGTTTTCCCTATTCAACCCTCATAGTTTAATCGACCGGATCTATTTAAACAGCTAATGAAAAAAAGAACCGTGCGTCGATAAAACATTAACCTGGAGCTTCTTCGACTGAGTACGGAGACGCTGGTGAGGCAGGCTCAAACTAGGCCGAGGCAATACATCTGTCGGTGGATAATAAGATTATCTTAACTATAAATGATTATAAAGCGCGGTTCTGCAGACTGCTAGCCGTACTACTGCCGTTTCGCCCTGGATCTCGGCTTTTGCAGCTTCGCCCAGTGACTGCGGCTCTCGCAGCTCATCCACGGCTCTCGCTGGCTGCCCCTAAGTACCCGAGCAGGATCCCGAGGCATCTCACTGCAAACAAGCCAAATCACATCTTCTGGGGCTTTTCTCTTTGCCTTGCTGTCCCTCCCCGTCGCCATTTGCTGGGCGGCCGGGGTGGCTCGCTGACTGGCTCTGCTTAGCCGCCTTTAGCCTTTTGTTTAAGCCCGGTGCTGTTTGCAGGGGTGGGGGTAGTAAGGGGGCTTTGCAGATCCGCTACTGTAGTCTGTGCGCGGTTTTAAAGGTCGAGCTTCCCGGCTACTCCCAGCATGTCGCTCCACGGGAAGAGAAAGGAGATCTACAAGTACGAGGCGCCATGGACGGTGTACGCCATGAATTGGAGCGTCCGGCCGGACAAGCGCTTCCGTTTGGCGCTGGGCAGCTTCGTGGAGGAGTACAACAACAAGGTGACCGTCCTGCCTCCGCCGCCGGCATCCTTTGCTTGATGTATGCATGCAGGATAAGCTTCGGGATAAAGGCTCGCTGCCTGCTTCCTTAAGGCACCAGTCATTACCGTCACAGGTTTTGGTGCAATATGACCTTATGAACTTAATATCATTCCTTATCCATCTGTCCCATATACTGTCTCATGCAGGTGCTGTATAATCTTAATTGGCTAGTCCGACCACACGAACAAAAAAACAAAAAAGTTTCGTGTAGGTTCATTTTTTTAATATTGTATCAATTTCAAAATGAAGTATAGACAATTCTTCAAATTAGGTCCAAAAAAGTCGTCCAAAGTATTTCAAGTAGCCTACGCACTAACATTTTCTGAAATTGATGTACCGTGCGATGAAATAAGCAGTAATTGTTATAATGAGCCTTTACACCATTTAAAGCTTTGTTAAATCAAGTAAGACTTTATTGTCATCTCAGCCATGTACAGTACAGAGTGAAATAAAATAACATTTTTTTCCTGAATCCAATCAACGTTCATGACAGGACAAATAGGACACTGCTAAAACAATTTTCAAGATGCAAAAAGAAGATCCCTGTACAATTATGAATAAAATTTAAGGAGAGGGGAGACAGGGAAGATTACTATCTGTACTTTCTACCTAATGTCACCTTTCACACGAGACAAACAATGAACAGGCACACTCCATAGCACTGGGAAATTAGTGCTGGAAGTACTGCCCATGCTTAAAGTGGGAGTGGGAGACATAAACAGTTTAGAAGTGTGAGGGCCAGTGGGTGGGAAGAAACTAGTGCGCAGTCTGGTGGAGCAGGACCAGGTTCTGTGAAAGCTTTTGCTTGATGCCAGAAGGGCAAAGAGTTCATGGGAGGGGTGGGAGGCGTCTTCCACAGTGCTGGAGGCTTTGCGAATGCAGCGTGTGTGGACACTGTCCTGTACGCAACGTACAGAGTTGCCAACCCTGTGTCCCTGTATAAACCTTTTTGTTAAAGTATTCACAATAAATTCTAGTAGACTTTCTATAGAGGGAAATAGCTATGTAACTAGTCAGTGAAGGAGATGAAAGGAAAATGCTCCACGTTCAATCACTTAAATAGGCATAGCTGTAAATGTGAAGTGTGAATCTCATATACTGAGCAAGTAAATTTGAATAACTAGTCTATGGAGCCTGAGGGTAGTCCTGTTGATAAGCTGTGATCTTGGACGTGCCTTCAGGTGCAGCTGGTGGGCTTGGAGGAGGAGAGCTCAGAGTTCGTCTGCAGGAACACGTTTGACCACCCCTACCCCACCACAAAGATTATGTGGATCCCAGACACCAAGGGAGTGTACCCGGATCTCTTGGCTACCAGTGGTGACTACCTGCGAATCTGGAGGGTAAGATAATGGCTTTCCCACATCCCTCCAGTTCCTTCCTGATGTGTTTTGGTCTTTAACTAATCGTCGTGTCTGCAGGTGAGTGACACAGAGACCCGTCTGGAGTGCCTGCTCAATAACAACAAGAACTCTGACTTTTGTGCACCACTCACATCCTTTGACTGGAATGAGGTTGACCCCAACCTTCTGGGTAATAAACACTCCGCTGTTTCTTTGGCATTTTAACTGAAGTGCTGCATCAGCAGTTTGTGCAGTAGAAATGTAGGTCTTTACGAGCTGAGTTTCCACCATATAGGCACTTCAAGTATTGACACTACCTGCACTATCTGGGGGCTGGAAACTGGTCAAGTGTTGGGCCGAGTTAATCTGGTGTCTGGTCATGTGAAGACTCAGCTAATTGCCCATGACAAGGAGGTAAGAGATTTCTAGGACTTTTGTCCTTTTTCAGTCTGCTTAAGTATAAAATCTAAGATAAACCAAATATGTAGTCTTTCAGGAACATGGTCTTCTATAGGGACTTTTCATCTATTTTGGTTAGCCTTTACAAATATTATGCAATCTGCATGAAAGGATACCTTGAAATCATTACAATTTTTAGTTTTCTAAACCTATTTTCAGAACTCAAAAATTTGCACGATACTTCCAAGTTGACGACCTTGCAATTGTAATGCATGTTATCATCAGGCAATGAAAATTGTAAGAAATATATATAAAGCATGCAAACCTCTGCAAAGATCCTTTGCAAATTGAGCACAGCACATTACTGACAGTTGACAATCCCATTGAAGCAGTTGAATAAGTGTTAAAGGCCTTTGTGTGTATGCCGTATTGTGTAATCGTGGTCTCTGTGTATCTGCTCCTGTAGGTGTATGACATTGCCTTCAGCCGGGCAGGCGGTGGCAGGGATATGTTTGCTTCAGTGGGGGCGGACGGCTCAGTGCGTATGTTTGACCTGAGACACCTTGAGCACAGCACCATCATTTATGAGGACCCCCAGCATCACCCCCTGCTGCGCCTCTGTTGGAACAAGCAGGACCCCAACTACCTGGCCACCATGGCCATGGATGGTATGGAGGTCAGTAGCTCTCCCCCATTCCCACCCATTTTCATCCCCCTGATTCTTGGGTTCTGTTCTGTTGCACTTAAAAAGGTGTTTGTCCCCAGGTGGTAATTTTGGATGTACGGGTCCCCTGCACTCCCGTCGCGCGACTCAACAACCACCGCGCCTGCGTGAATGGCATCGCATGGGCGCCGCACTCCTCCTGTCACATCTGCACAGCAGGTAAGGTACTTCCGAACCTGCGGGAGGGTCTGCATGCTGCCCATTATCTATGTCATGCTTCGCTTGGTCTCTGGTCATCAAAACATTCCAGTCCACACTAAAGTGAAGGCAGCATCTATAATTCTATAATCTAGCTCAGGGGTACTGAAATATTTTTCCCCTCGGTAAATTTTGTTCAGTCGTGGGGATATCCTCTTCAGTAAATATTACCAACCAGGGGGAATTGGGTTCCCCTTGGTAAATTACTTTGGCTGGGGGGGAGGGGGGGCTGGCGTGGATTGGCGTTTAGTTGTACCATCAGGATTACATTGTTTTGGTTCACATTCAGACCGAAGTCTGCCATTTGCCTTTATCTTGCTTTTGTATCAAGTGCAGTTAAATTAATTATTCACCGTATAAGCATAAGCATAAATTCTGTTTTTAGTGTGTTTGTATAAGATCCGGTGAAAGGACCCAGTTCAGTTCTAAGTACTCATTATAAATACTACTTGCACACAGCCAAACAGGTCTGGCTAGGCTCATGTCAGTTTTCAAAAAACTGTACAATAACAAGGCCTCTGTGTTTCCATGGTAATAGTCCCAAAGCTCTTTTGCTTGCTGGTACCCTGTGGTGAATGTCTGGTCAAATAGAAGTGACAAGGGTATTTTATTTGCAAACCAGTCGTCTTCTCTCTCTGCAAGCGATGGATTCCCTTGTGACATGTTAATGAGATGTCACATGATGAACTCCCTCAAGTGGAGAAAAGGGGGAAGCAACCATTGTTAAAATGGAACAGGTTTGCTGGTTGTTTCATTTTTTTTTTATTGTTCCTGTAATAACTTGGGCGACTTTTGCATCACAGCTGATGACCATCAGGCCTTGATCTGGGATATCCAGCAAATGCCGAGGGCTATCGAGGATCCTATCCTGGCCTACACTGCCGAAGGGGAAATTAACAATGTGCAGTGGGCCTCCACACAGCCTGACTGGATCGCCATCTGCTACAACAACTGCCTGGAGATCTTAAGGGTCTAGCTGTTGACATGGATTGTATGAGGTGGAGGTGGTGCAGCCAGGATGGTTATGTAAAGACAGGTGCTTAGACTTTGGCTGTTGTATTGAATAGATGTGTGAGATTTTTGTTGAGTTCTGCATGAGTAGATCAATTTCTTGCACAACTCTCACTGGAAAGCACTGTTTTTAGTAATGGGCTCAGAAAGGTTTTATTTTTGCTGTAAATATTTATGTTAATATTTAATATTTTATTGTATATCAATGTTTGCTTGTCTTAAGTAACTCAATCTGAGTTGAAAATTCAAAGGCTGACTAGCCTTCTCTCTGCAGTCCTGTTTTTTTTCTTTACGACTTCTCCAGGTACAGTGGAATATAATATTCACCCAGCTCCTTTATTTAAATTTACACAAACTGTGAAATAGTTCAGTCTCAAAGATTTGTGAGGTAAGTGTGTAGAACAATCTGCATTCTGTGTAAGCTCCATATTGTCTGTTAGTTCATAATGAGGATCTTTTTTCCACTTTCCGGTGTGATGTCAACATATGAGCCAGTAGCTTGCATGCTGGCGTGACACAAACAAAAGGTGGTTTTCTCAGCTATCAGTCGGAGTCTGAATGTCATGAACCTATTTCAGAGGTTTTTTCTTAAATTTTTACTTCCAGTATTTTTACTTCCAGTACTTCTCCATGTCTGTTGCTTCGTTCTGCCCTAGTTGGACACTTATACCACCGTTTATTACTTTTTTGTTGTTCTTTCCAATAAAACCACTTGGTCAAGTTGCCAAAAGCGAAGCTGTTCTTAATTTTTTCCCCACAAAGACTGCGTTCACAATGAATGCATGACCATTGTGAGACTGACCCACTCATCGTTTGACCTGGTCTGGGTAATTTGATTTAGTGGACGATTGGTATGTGAGGAGCTACAATAAGCTGAGCCTTGACTCTAATTGATCGACGTTTGTCCAACAAAGCACCACAAACAATATGAAAGCATGAATCTTTATAATAACTTCCGTGGTTCTTGGAATTGTGGCAGTAATTGCAAGCATCTAGTTTCAAAATATTTAGATTTAAAATGGGTTTTATATTGTGTCAATTTGAATCCTCTTGCTGGCCAGACTTCATAGAAAGGTTCGGGGGATTTTCATTGTAACACTTTTTGTAACTGTTGGTGTTCAAGTTCCTTATGCACTGGTGTCTTTTATTGGGTGACAATTGTGTGTCCTTCAAGGCCACAGTAGGTTTTATAATCCCTGGCTTGTATGGTGTACAACAAGAAGTATGAAGGTTTATTTCCCTTTTTTCCAAGCTTCTCATTTTGCAAGGTATATATGTTTGTGCTTTTAAAAATGTGTATAAATGCTTTTTGCATAACATTAACTGTGGCGCTGTGGGGAGCAATAGAAGTGGTACCTAGGTTTAGGACTAAATGTTAAGTTGCTGTAGAGATTCATGTACTATACTGTGTGTAAACTAGGTTCATCAGCTTCATATGACCAATTAGGGTGCTTTTCCACTGCAACCAAGTACTGTACTTTTGGTACTTCAAGAAAAATACCAAAAGTATAAAACTTCAAGGTACTGGTTTTCCACTGGCATAAAAACTGGTATTGGCACTAAATGATGTCAACACAAGGTGGGGTATTTTGTACTGAATTTAGGGCTGGACAATGTGTGATATTAATACCAACATCACATATTATGCACGTGCAATTCACAAATCACAAGGACCCTGATAGTCAGCTGGGTTGAGGTCAGGCTTTTTCACACCTTCATACTATCCAGACATTATAGAGCTGGGGGGTGTCACTATAACATCTTTACTTTGTTATAGGAAACAAAACTTAGCAAGCGTTGCAGTTTTAATTTTCGTTCCTTTTCAAGATTATTGTCACGCCCCGCTCCGCCCGATCCTAGTGTGTGCCACGCCTACCTCGTTACCTCGTGTTTATGCCTGATTGTTCTCAACTGTTGCTCGTTAAACTCAGTTTGTCTTGTGTATTTAGTCCTCGTCTGAGTCAGTCTTCCCCAGACTTGTCATTAATGTTCGCTGTCTTCCTTCCCCGGTTCCCCGTTTTTACCCGACTTCCTGGCTCCTCTCCCCTGCTTGCCATTTCAACAGGGTGAATTTTTTTAATGATTAGTTTCATGTTCTATGAAAGCAGCTGTACGTGATTATCTACAGGATTTTTGCCCAGGTCTGCTGTAGAACCCTTAAAGAAACTAAAACATTGTCACAAGTCATGTTGTCTTACTTTGTTGGCCCCTAATCTTTTATTATCCAGAGCTGTGCCTTTCTCTCCTCGCTGAGCCCTGATGGTAAATCGTTCAGGCCACCATGTCTCACTGTAAACTGATCAATAAACCTCCAGTTTCCAGTCCACTTTTGCAACTCATTGGCATCATTTCCTGGTCAAATCCATAGTGAATTATTCTTTCTACCTTTTCTCCAAAACAGTGTTTTGAGTTGCAATAGGTTGTTTACTACAGTATTCCTGCCTGGCATGTGGGAGACCAATTTGCTGACAGGGAGATTTCTGCATTTTGCCTGCCCTCTTTCTGGGGACAGTATGTGGTTCAGTGGCTAAGCCTCTGTCCGTGTGATTCAAAGGTTGCTGGTTCAAGCCCCACCTCAACCCATCCATTAAACAAAGCCCTTAACCTGGGTGCTCCTACAGGTGATATCCATTCACTGCTAAGGTTGGTCTCACCTATGGGGAGCTTTTTAATACCTTAAATCAGGGCTATTCAATTCAGGCCCTCGATTCCAAATCCAGGCCGTGTTTTCAGCTCTGCCGGGTAGTTAGTTTAATAATTTCTTATTCTGATTGGTCAGAGGCTTCACACCTGGCTCACAGGTGAAGGAAGGCTGGAAAATCAGCAGGGCTCAGCCCTTGAGGACTGTGAGTTGAATAGCCCTGCCTTAAATAGAACTGTAGAGTTCAGAATGTAGTTTAAATGATCTTACACAATTTTTATGAACATGACTATATGCTTTTACACTATGGGAAGATCCATTTTTGTAAAAGACCCAAGGAGTTGCATTAAAAGGATTTTTTCCCTCAAAAACATGTGCTGTCAACCTCAGGCTTCCAGTCTGAAACAAGTATCAATGCGGACAATGTCTGGCAGGAGCAGCACACTGACTCACACGGGGAGAGCAAGGGCGGAAATTCAAATTTATTGTCTTCTGTTTGCAAAGGCAGTGATAGCAATATCATGTGGATGCTATCTGCATATTCGTGTTTCACAAATCCATCAAGGGTAGGAAACTGGTGGACTCCAGACCACACCAATTTTATCATGGAGACCCGCACCCTCCCCTGTCATCAAAGCAATGCACCTTGGCTTTGTGTTGTGGACCAAATTTGGTTAGCTAGCCAATACACTCTAACGATTGTACCAGGCTTGTAATTAGAGACCCCTGTGCATAGGCTATTATACACAAGAACCATGTCACTTACATTAAAAAAAAAAAATACATAAGATGTATGCATATTTCATTCAACTAAACAAATTAATAAGAATCAAATAAGATTATAGAATAAATTTTTCATGTATGTTTGTGCTATTTATTGAATGGCAGTGAGGGTGGTGTGTGTGGGGGTGTGGTAAATGTTATACATCAAGAACAGCAATACTGGAATATATGGTTATTGTACCATGAATTCTTCATAACACTGGTACTAATATAACAAGTATTTAGATGATGAATTGTGTGTTTGAATCCTAGTAATTTACTGAAGATTGGTAAGACCAATACAATTAATGTTTCACCAGGTGATACTGAGAAGAAGTGGTTGAAAGATTATTATTGTATGTGTTTACATAGCAAATGCACAATCTGAAGCTCTCTCCACCAATACATGATGGCAATTTTGCCATTTATCTACGCACATATGTTTCTGAAGGAGAGCTTCAGACATAACAAATATCAAAGCCATTTAGCTCAGTTTTGACTGACCGTACTTGTGACAGCTGTAACTATATTTATGGCTTAATTAAATTAAATTAATTTTTATATAGTGCCTTTCACAACAGTTGCTCCAAGGCGCTTTACGTCAGTTTGTTGAAATACATAATTTACAGAATAATATATGAAACGGGGAAAAGGGAAGACAGAATAAAAGAAAAACAGCCAAATGACAAGCAGATAGCTTTAGAGAAAGACATATTATATTGCATAAAAGCCTGGAAAATCAACACAAGCATGGCAGCTTACCTGTTCAGTATAATAAGTAATGATAAGAAATGAACAGATTAATATTGAAATCTTGTAGAGACCAGAATGAACATAGGCTCACTGTGTGAGCTGGCCTTCAGGATTCAGCACCTCCCATATTAAGGTGGCAAAGTGAAAAGGAGAGTACAAACACTAATTGCCAGCCAAAACCCACATAATTATAGGATCTTCTAGGAATAACCCCCTTCATTAATCGCCACCTTATTGTGGTTTAGGGGCTTGTGTGTCTCTGATCCTAGGAGCTATGTTGTTGGGGGTAGTTTCCCCTGGTAGGGTCTCCCAAGGCAAATTGGTTCTAGGTGAGAGGCCAGACTAAGTATGATTCATAAAACCCACCATGATGCATAGACCATGTTACCCCGCCTGGATGGGGGAGACCAGGGCCTCGCCTTGCAGTCAGGCCTGTGGCAGGAGCTCGAAGCCGAGGGACGGGTGACCGGGCCTCCACCTATAGGGCTCAGCCGGACATAGCCTGAAGAGATAACATGGGTTTGCCCTCCTATGGGCCCACCACCTGCAGGGGGAGTCATGGGGGTCGGTTGCAATGTAGCATGGATGGCAATCGAAGGCAGGGGCTTCAGCGGACCAATTGTTGTCTACCTAAACTACATCTTGGTACATAGAACGTAACCTCTCTTATGGGAAAGGAACCTGAGCAGGTGCAGTAGGTAAAGAGATACTGACTAGATGTAGTCGGGCTCACCTCAATGCATAGTTCGGGCTCTGGAACCAAACTCCTGGAAAGGGGCTGAACTCTATTCCACTCTGGAGTTGCCCATGGGGAAAGGTGCCAGGCAGGGAAGGGTCCACTTATAGCCCCCGAGGACTGGTGCCAGTACACTGGAAGTTCACCCCAATGAAGGGGATGGTCACTTCCCTTCGACTTTGAGTCAGAAGACGGGCTCTAACTGTTGTCTGTGTGTACAGTCCAGACACCAGTCCAGAGTATCCAGCCTTCTTGGAGACCTTGGAGGAGGTGCTGGAAGGCACACCTTCTGGGGACTCTATTATTCTGCTAGGGGACTTTAACACTCATGTGGGTAATAACAATGAAACCTGGAAGAGTGTGATTATGAGGAATGGTCTGCCTGATTGGAATCCAAGTGGTGATCAGTTATTGGACTTCTGTGCTAACCACAGTTTGTCCATAGCAAACACCATGTTTAAACACAAGGGTGTTCATCAATACCTTTGGCACCTGAGCACCCTAGGCCACAGTTCGATTAATCGATTTTGTTATTGTATCATCGGATTTGCGTCTGCATGTTTTGGACTCTCAGGAAAAGGTCAACTGATCACCACCTGGTGGTGAGTTGGATCCGATGGTGGGGGAATATGCCAGATAGACCTGTTACACCCAATATTCAGCACAGGTAGGTGAAACCACCTGCTTGGCATCTCTGCCTGGCGCACCTCCGACAGTGCCCTTCTGCCGGCTACAGGGTCGTCAGCCAAGAGCCACCCTTCACCGATGTTTAGCTCCTTTAATCCCGGAACATCTCTGGGTGGTGGAGCAACGATAGGGACGTCTCCCTACCGCCCCCTGCAG